AATAACTCAAAAGATTACATTTGATTAGGCTAAAGGTTAATACAATTAAACTAAAAAGTAATTGTTATGAGGGGGCACAAAAATTCAGGAACAAGCCAGGCCTACTGAAAATGATCCCAGCTGACTGTACACACCTAGTTGTGCTTGCGGGGGTTGAGCTCTGGCTCTTTGGTCCCGCCTCTCAACTGTCAATCAACAGGTGTACAGGTTCCTGAGCCTACTGGGCTCTATCATATCTACACTTGAAACTGTGTATGGAGTCAGCCTCCACCACATTGCTTCCTAATGCATTCCATTTGTCAACCACTCTGACACTAAAAAAGTTCTTTCTAATATCTCTGTGGCTCATTTGGGCACTGAGCTGTAGCCTCCGGGCTGGAGGGTTGAAGCAATGCTTCAGCTTATCAGTTGAGGGGAGGAAGGGCAAGTCCAGACAGTCGTACCGATAAAGGGTATGCCAGTGCCTAGGAGGGGTGGGAGCGGGTCTGTCTCTCCCAGGCATGCGCGGGGCAGGTGCGCACAGTCAACTCCTCCACCAATCAGGGCCGAGCTAACTCTAATATATCAAATGCTGCCTCTGGCGGGCACTTTGAATGTGGTTCCCTCCACATTACTGTAAACCAGCCAGGCTTATGTAAACCAGCCAGGGCTACTGTAAACCAGCCAGGCTTACTGTACACCAGCCAGGCTTATGTAAACCAGCCAGGCTTACTGTACACCAGCCAGGGCTACTGTAAACCAGCCAGGCTTACTGTACACCAGCCAGGGCTACTGTAAACCGGCCAGGCTTACTGTAAACCAGCCAGGCTTATGTAAACCAGCCAGGCTTACTGTAAACCAGTCAGGCCTACTGTAAACCAGCCAGGCCTGCTGTAAACCAGTCAGGCCTACTGTAAACCAGCCAGGCTTACTGTAAACCAGCCAGGCTTACTGTAAACCAGCCAGGCTTACTGTAAACCAGCCAGGCCTACTGTAAACCAGCCAGGCCTGCTGTAAACCAGTCAGGCCTACTGTAAACCAGCCAGGCCTGCTGTAAACCAGTCAGGCCTGCTGTAAACCAGCCAGGCTTACTGTAAACCAGCCAGGCTTACTGTAAACCAGCCAGGCTTACTGTAAACCAGCCAGGCTTACTGTAAACCAGCCAGGCCTACTGTAAACCAGCCAGGCCTGCTGTAAACCAGTCAGGCCTACTGTAAACCAGCCAGGCCTGCTGTAAACCAGTCAGGCCTGCTGTAAACCAGCCAGGCTTACTGTAAACCAGCCAGGCTTACTGTAAACCAGCCAGGCTTACTGTAAACCAGCCAGGCTTACTATAAACCAGCCATGCTTACTGTAAACCAGCCAGGCTTACTGTAAACCAGCCAGGCTTACTGTAAACCAGCCAAGCTTACTGTAAACCAGCCCTGAGGGCCACAAATTTTTCCAAATATTTTTTTCTGCTGAAGGTGGTTCCGTGAGTATATAACCCTGTGGGTGAAGAAGGTCTGTTCCCAGTCCTACATTGTGGCTTGTTGAGCTTGTCACTGTTGTTCCTTGTTTGTGTTACATTGTGGCTTGTTGAGCTTGTCACTGTTGTTCCTTGTTTGTGTTACATTGTGGCTTGTTGAGCTTGTCACTGTTGTTCCTTGTTTGTGTTACATTGTGGCTTGTTGAGCTTGTCACTGTTGTTCCTTGTTTGTGTTACATTGTGGCTTGTTGAGCTTGTCACTGTTGTTCCTTGTTTGTGTTACATTGTGGCTTGTTGAGCTTGTCACTGTTGTTCCTTGTTTGTGTTACATTGTGGCTTGTTGAGCTTGTCACTGTTGTTCCTTGTTTGTGTTACATTGTGGCTTGTTGAGCTTGTCACTGTTGTTCCTTGTTTGTGTTACATTGTGGCTTGTTGAGCTTGTCACTGTTGTTCCTTGTTTGTGTTACATTGTGGCTTGTTGAGCTTGTCACTGTTGTTCCTTGTTTGTGTTACATTGTGGCTTGTTGAGCTTGTCACTGTTGTTCCTTGTTTGTGTTACATTGTGGCTTGTTGAGCTTGTCACTGTTGTTCCTTGTTTGTGTTACATTGTGGCTTGTTGAGCTTGTCACTGTTGTTCCTTGTTTGTGTTACATTGTGGCTTGTTGAGCTTGTCACTGTTGTTCCTTGTTTGTGTTACATTGTGGCTTGTTGAGCTTGTCACTGTTGTTCCTTGTTTGTGTTACATTGTGGCTTGTTGAGCTTGTCACTGTTGTTCCTTGTTTGTGTTACATTGTGGCTTGTTGAGCTTGTCACTGTTGTTCCTTGTTTGTGTTACATTGTGGCTTGTTGAGCTTGTCACTGTTGTTCCTTGTTTGTGTTACATTGTGGCTTGTTGAGCTTGTCACTGTTGTTCCTTGTTTGTGTTACATTGTGGCTTGTTGAGCTTGTCACTGTTGTTTGTGTTACATTGTGGCTTGTTGAGCTTGTCACTGTTGTTCCTTGTTTGTGTTACATTGTGGCTTGTTGAGCTTGTCACTGTTGTTCCTTGTTTGTGTTACATTGTGGCTTGTTGAGCTTGTCACTGTTGTTCCTTGTTTGTGTTACATTGTGGCTTGTTGAGCTTGTCACTGTTGATCCTTGTTTGTGTTACATTGTGGCTTGTTGAGCTTGTCACTGTTGTTCCTTGTTTGTGTTACATTGTGGCTTGTTGAGCTTGTCACTGTTGTTCCTTGTTTGTGTTACATTGTGGCTTGTTGAGCTTGTCACTGTTGTTCCTTGTTTGTGTTACATTGTGGCTTGTTGAGCTTGTCACTGTTGTTCCTTGTTTGTGTTACATTGTGGCTTGTTGAGCTTGTCACTGTTGTTCCTTGTTTGTGTTACATTGTGGCTTGTTGAGCTTGTCACTGTTGTTCCTTGTTTGTGTTACATTGTGGCTTGTTGAGCTTGTCACTGTTGTTCCTTGTTTGTGTTACATTGTGGCTTGTTGAGCTTGTCACTGTTGTTCCTTGTTTGTGTTACATTGTGGCTTGTTGAGCTTGTCACTGTTGTTCCTTGTTTGTGTTACATTGTGGCTTGTTGAGCTTGTCACTGTTGTTCCTTGTTTGTGTTACATTGTGGCTTGTTGAGCTTGTCACTGTTGTTCCTTGTTTGTGTTACATTGTGGCTTGTTGAGCTTGTCACTGTTGTTCCTTGTTTGTGTTACATTGTGGCTTGTTGAGCTTGTCACTGTTGTTCCTTGTTTGTGTTACATTGTGGCTTGTTGAGCTTGTCACTGTTGTTCCTTGTTTGTGTTACATTGTGGCTTGTTGAGCTTGTCACTGTTGTTCCTTGTTTGTGTTACATTGTGGCTTGTTGAGCTTGTCACTGTTGTTCCTTGTTTGTGTTACATTGTGGCTTGTTGAGCTTGTCACTGTTGTTCCTTGTTTGTGTTACATTGTGGCTTGTTGAGCTTGTCACTGTTGTTCCTTGTTTGTGTTACATTGTGGCTTGTTGAGCTTGTCACTGTTGTTCCTTGATTGTGTTACATTGTGGCTTGTTGAGCTTGTCACTGTTGTTCCTTGTTTGTGTTACATTGTGGCTTGTTGAGCTTGTCACTGTTGTTCCTTGTTTGTGTTACATTGTGGCTTGTTGAGCTTGTCACTGTTGTTCCTTGTTTGTGTTACATTGTGGCTTGTTGAGCTTGTCACTGTTGTTCCTTGTTTGTGTTACATTGTGGCTTGTTGAGCTTGTCACTGTTGTTCCTTGTTTGTGTTACATTGTGGCTTGTTGAGCTTGTCACTGTTGTTCCTTGTTTGTGTTACATTGTGGCTTGTTGAGCTTGTCACTGTTGCCCCAAATGTGTTATATTTAGCTTTCAAAGAAGTGGTCTGAATTTACTACATATCTCCGAAGGCTCCATCAACACGACACACAGCCATCAGCTGACTCCATCAACACAACATCCAATCAGTATTAAAAGATTTATATAATATATATATTATACTTGGTTAGGAGTTTTAATAGTTCGTGTTTACTGCGCCACTCTCAGTGACGCTGACTGGCTGTTACTCAGAGTTCACTGTGGCTTTCCTCCGTATATGTGATCGCAAAATAAATATTAGTTTTTGATGAAACAAGATTTTTAGTTCATTTTCTCTAACGAAGTGTGAAGAGAAAATGAATATATTTGATGGCAAACTAGTACATTATGATCAACAGTGTTGGGTTTTTATATTATTTTGCAATTGTTCACTTTTATTGTTTTTGTGCCTCCTTATTTGACCCGTCGTCTTAGTCCATTTCCTCATGTGTCCCCTCGCGCTGGCCCCACCCACTAGTCCCACAAACCACGCCCCACAAACTACGCCCCACAAACCATGCCACACAAACTACGCCCCACAAACCACGCCCCACAAACTACGCCCCACAAACCATGCCCCACAAACTACGCCCCACAAACCATGCTCCACAAACTACGCCCCACAAACCATGCCACACAAACCACGCCCCACAAACCACGCCACACAAACCACGCCCCACAAACTACGCCCACAAACCACGCCCACAAACCACGCCCCACAAATAACGCCCACAAACCACGCCCCACAAACCACGCCCCACAAATAACGCCCACAAACCACGCCCACAAACCACGCCCCACAAACGACGCCCCACAAACCACGCCCCACAAACTACGCCCCACAAACCACGCCCCACAAACCACGCCCCACAAACCACGCCCCACAAACCACGCCCCACAAACTACGCCCCACAAACCACGTCCCACAAACCACGCCCCACAAACCACCCCCCACAAACCACGCCCCACAAACCACGCCCCACAAACCACGCCCCACAAACCACGCCCCACAAAACACGCCCCACAAACCACGCCCCACAAACCACGCCCCACAAACCACCCCCCACAAACCACGCCCCACAAACCACCCCCCACAAACCACCCCCCACAAACCACGCCCCACAAACCACGCCCCACAAACCACCCCCCACAAACCACGCCCCACAAACCACGCCCCACAAACCACGCCCTAACATAGTGATTGGTCTCCCACAGAAGCAAGAGCCGCAGCGTGGACCACAGCATCCACAGTCCCTTCGATCTGGACGCTCTTCGACGCAAGATCGGAGAGCGCGCCTCCTCCGAACCCTCCAGGGACATCTCTCCTTCCCCAGGTAGGTCCTTATATGTATCTTAAGTGGGTCCTATAAGTAGGCACTTGTAGGAGCTCCTGTAAGTAGGTCCTGTGAGCTTCGTTCTCAAGTGCTGAGGTCTTCTTCCCTGAAACTACCTGTGAATGAAGACATTCCAGGGGAGCCGACAACACTCAATAACCCTTAAGGGGTGGGTTGAGGGAGCCCTTAAGTGGTGGGTTGAGGGAGCTCTTAAGGGGTGGAGTAAGTAATTATCAAAAGAAGGCACCAAACCGGGAAGGCTATGTATCACCATCAAACGTGCAGAATAATCAGAGGGCGCTAAATATCAGCAAGGATGCCAATACGAGAACAGAAACGCATAAGGCGAACTATATCAAAAGTATCCGATTCACCAAGAATTCTATCAAGGGACAAGTGACCGCGAGGGACGGTCGGGAAGCAAGACACACGTTCATCCTGGAAGTCAGGACATTCAACAAGGATATGCACGACTGTAAGAAGGACAATGCAATTTGGAAAATAAGGAGCAGGGCGGCGCTCCATTAAGTGACTGTGAGTTAAGCGTGTATGGCCAATACGCAACCTTGCTAGAGCCGTTTCCCACCGCCGGTAACGGTGGTAGGAGGAAGGCCACGGGGACATACTACGCTTAAGAGTACGCAGTTTGTTACCAACAACAGCAGACCAACAACCTTGCCATCGGGCATGGATGGAGGAATGAATAACCGGGAAAAAGTTGGAATAAGGAATACCTTTATGGGAGATGGGACAAGAGCGGATAGCTTCTCTAGCGGCAGCATCCACACGCTCATTTAAAGAAACACCAACATGGCTGGGAACCCAGCAAAACTCTATGGATTTAAATTTACTAGAGATAAGAAACAGCCAATGTTGAATCTCGACGATCACCGGATGGACAGCATTAAAGGACCCTAGAGCCATGAGGGCACTACGAGAGTCAACTACAACCACAAAGGAGGATTGACAACAAGAAAGCAGGAGACGAAGAGCATAGAGAATAGCATAAAGTTCTGCCGTAAAGACGCTAGCCTCCGAAGGGAGGCGACACATATAAGTGCGGTCAGAAAAAACAACAGAGTAGCCCACACCGTCCACAGACTTAGACCCATCGGTCGGTAAAGATGGAAACGGAGCGGGAGTGTTAAGAAAAGTGCTCAAGGAAAAGGCGTTTCAAAACTGTAGGAGGGGTAAATCTTTAGTGATGTGGGTCAGGGATTTGCAAAATTAAGGAAGGGGGCAAGGACGAAACAACACGATGAGAAATATTAATAATACTAACCAAAAGAGAACGCTGCAGGCGAGACAACCGTACAGAAAGAGGGAGGTGGTGAATGGGAACAGGAACTACAGGAGGGGGAAAAGTCAAAGCACGACACAGGCAAGAGTGAGAGTGTTGTAAAGACCGCGCAAGATAGCGAAGACAGTAGCGATCTTGGCGGTCCTGGAGAGACAGGAAGCCAGTGTCAACATACAAGCTGAGGGCGGGAGTCGAACGAAAAGCACCAGAGCTGAGGCGCAACGCAGTATGGTGCAAAGGATCAAGACAGCAAAGAGTAGAAGGAGAAGCAGAAGAGTATGCAGGGCAACCATAATCGAATTTAGACAGTATGAGAGAGGAATGCAAAGAGAGGAGCGTGCGCCTATCTGCTCCCCAAGAAGTATGTGACAGAACCTTAAGTAGGTTAAGGACCTTAGAACATTCAACACGGAAGTAAGATATACAGGGCGACCAAGACAAACGAGTGTCAAAGATTAACCCCAAAAGCTTCGCAGAATCTTTGTACACAAGGGGTTGACTATAAAGCGACAAATGCTTGACAATATGCTTTCGAATAAAAGTCACGGCACAAGTCTTAGTCACAGAGAACTTGAAGCAATGATTGGTGGCCCAAGACAACACGGCCTCAATCACACGTTGAAGGAGAGGCGAATCATCACCTCGACAGCAAAGAGTAAGATTGTCGACATGAAGAGCGGAGAAGATGCCAGAAGGAAGGAAGGGAAGAAAGAAGACCATTGAGGGCAACCAGTAAAAGAGTAGTGCTCACAACACTACCTTGGGGCACACCTTCGTATTGCAGAAAAGAGGCAGAGAGAGTGGCACCAAGCCTAACTCGAAAGGAACGACGAGAGAGGAAGCTTTGGAGGAAGAGAGGGAGATTACCACGAAGGCCAAAAGACAGAAGTTGGGACAGAATATCGTATCTCCAAGTGGTGTCATAAGCCTTTTGCAAGTCAAAAAGGACAGCAACAACGGAGGTCTTCGCAGCAAAATCAGTACGAATATAGACCTCCAAGTTCACCAGGACAACAGTCATGCTACGGCACTTGCGAAAACCAAATTGAGAAGGAGAGAGGTGGTGATGGTGTTCTAGGAACCACATCAGATGAACATTTACCATACGCTCAGAGTTTGCAAACACAACTCGTGAGGGCAAAAGGGCGCGGAAGTCCTTAGAGAGAGACCCCGGTTTCCAAATAGGAAATACAACGGCATCGAGCCAGTCCCCAGGGACTGATGACGACTCCCAGACCTGGTTATACAGACTCGGTAAAAACTGTGTTATCAGAAGTTGGAGTTCATGAAAGTTGGCATAAAATTCACGAATATTCCATTGAAGAGTAAACATTATCAAAAAGAGAAAGAACAGCAACAGAGAACAATGAAGAAACAAAGGTAAAGAAGAACACAGTATATTAAAGAAGCTCAGGATCAGGATCAGCAAAATCAGGGTTAGAGGGCATGGGTAAACTTAGTAAGGATGGTGTGAAGGGAGCGGGAGGACAGACCAGAGGCGGACGGGTAGGGTACGGAAGAGGGGGAGACAACCGAGAGGGGCGGTCAAGGACAGCAGCTGAGAAGACACAGTACTTGAGCATTTGAGGACACCATGCCCGAACTTCCAGCATTTATAACAAAGTCTAGGAGAGGGAATGTACTCCTAAACGGAGCATCTGGCACCAGCAAAAATGATAGAGGGCGAAAGGGACCTACTACGAAGATGATTTTCATAACTCGAAGGGGCTGACGGCAGCGACCACGAGGGGGTCGAGTGAACGTGTTCACCTGGAGGACAGGATGGCCTTGGGCTTCGAGGATATGTTTAATATCCTCATGGCAGTCTTTTAGGTCCCTAACACCAGTTGCAACATGGTTCGGTAGTAGAACAGTGCCATCACTGGCATTTAACCGAGCATTTTTGGAGACCCGAACAGGGGTTTCCCCAATGCAGGACAATGCGGCTAAGCGGGAAGCTGCATCCAGGGAAGGAGCAGCAGCGACACGTGTACCTAAACGGGGTGGGGTTAAAAGTAACAGAGACATCCACCGAATCAACAAGGTGTTTATGGAGTGAGAAATCGTCAGGAGGTGTAGAATACAGAGGGAGGAGATCAGAGTATATGGCCCACGAAGCAGGACTAAACATGGCTTGATACGTATTAGTATGGGAAAGGATCGTGCAAGTGCGGCCGTGGCGGGGATGAGAGAGAGGGGGGTTAAAAGGTGCAATAGTCACAAGGAAAGATTGAACCGCACCAAGGGACGAGGTGGTCACCACTGGGGGCGTGTGGCTCGACCCAACCACAGAGGAGGGAGGGGAGCCGGGAGGAGTAGTCAGGAGGGTCCAAGGAGGAGCTAGGTCTGGGCCCAAAGTAGCGGGGGGCTACAGAGCCCAGTTTTCCAAAACAGTCCGACTCTGGTGCTTGATCGCCCATCCCACAAGCCTGAGAAGTCATAAGAGGAACAGTATTCAGCGACACGAAAACGAGAGGTAATTCTTTCGTTCACAAAGGTGCACCTCACTCACGTTGTGACCTCTGACCTTGTGACCTCTGACCTTGTGACAACCGACCTTGTGACCTCTGACCTTGTGACAACCGACCTTGTGACCTCTGACCTTGTGACAACTGACCTTGTGACCTCTGACCTTGTGACCTCTGACCTTGTGACAACCGACCTTGTGACCTCTGACCTTGTGACAACCGACCTTGTGACAACTGACCTTGTGACCTCTGACCTTGTGACAACCGACCGTGTGACCTCTGACCTTGTGACAACTGATCTTGTGACCTCTGACCTTGTGACAACTGACCTCGTGACCTCTGACCTTGTGACAACTGACCTTGTGACCTCTGACCTTGTGACCTCTGACCTTGTGACCTCTGACCTTGTGACCTCTGACCTTGTGACAACCGACCTTGTGACCTCTGACCTTGTGACCTCTGACCTTGTGATAACTGACCTTGTGACCTCTGACCTTGTGACAACTGATCTTGTGACCTCTGACCTTGTGACCTCTGACCTTGTGACAACTGACCTTGTGACCTCTGACCTTGTGACAACTGACCTTGTGACAACTGACCTTGTGACCTCTGATCTTGTGACCTCTGACCTTGTGACCTCTGACCTTGTGACCTCTGACCTTGTGACAACTGACCTTGTGACCTCTGACCTTGTGACAACTGACCTTGTGACCTCTGACCTTGTGACCTCTGACCTTGTGACAACTCACCTTGTGACCTCTGACCTTGTGACCTCTGACCTTGTGACCTCTGATCTTGTGACCTCTGACCTGTGACAACTGACCTCGTGACCTCTGACCTTGTGACAACTGACCTCGTGTCCTCTGACCTGTGACAACTGACCTCGTGACCTCTGACCTTGTGACCTCTGACTTCGTGACCTCTGACCTTGTGACAACTGACCTTGTGACCTCTGACCTTGTGACAACTGACCTTGTGACCTCTGACCTCGTGACCTCTGACCTTGTGACAACTGATCTTGTGACAACTGACCTTGTGACCTCTGACCTTGTGACCTCTGACCTTGTGACAACCGACCTTGTGACCTCTGACCTTGTGACAACCGACCTTGTGACCTCTGACCTTGTGACCTCTGACCTTGTGACAACTGACCTTGTGACCTCTGACCTTGTGACCTCTGACCTTGTGACAACTGACCTTGTGACCTCTGACCTTGTGACTTCTGACCTTGTGACCTCTGACCTTGTGACAACTGACCTTGTGACAACTGACCTTGTGTCCTCTGACCTGTGACAACTGATCTTGTGACAACTGACCTCGTGACCTCTGACCTGTGACAACTGATCTTGTGACAACTGACCTTGTGACCTCTGACCTTGTGACCTCTGACCTTGTGACCTCTGACCTTGTGACAACTGACCTTGTGACAACTGACCTCGTGACCTCTGACCATGTGACCTCTGACCTTGTGACCTCTGACCTTGTGACAACTGACCTTGTGACCTCTGACCTTGTGACAACTGACCTTGTGACCTCTGACCTTGTGACAACTGACCTTGTGACCTCTGACCTTGTGACAACTGACCTTGTGACCTCTGACCTTGTGACAACTGACCTTGTGACAACTGACCTTGTGACCTCTGACCTTGTGACCTCTGACCTTGTGACCTCTGACCTTGTGACAACTGACCTTGTGACAACTGACCTTGTGACCTCTGACCTTGTGACAACTGACCTTGTGACCTCTGACCTTGTGACCTCTGACCTGTGACACTACCGTTCTGATGTGTAATATATGACCTAAATGAGTCTGTGCTCTCCACACTTGACCTATGTCCAGGCTGTTGGTGACCCCGCGATGTTGGTGGCAGGTGGCAGGCGGCAGGTGGCAGGTGGCAGGCGTCAGGTGGGAGGTGGCAGGTGGCAGGCGGCAGGTGGCAGGCGGCAGGTGGCAGGCGTCAGGTGGACAGGTGGCAGGTGGACAGGTGGCAGGTGGACAGGTGGCAGGCGTCAGGTGGCAGGTGGACAGGTGGCAGGCGTCAGGTGGCAGGCGTCAGGTGGCAGGTGGACAGGTGGCAGGCGTCAGGTGGCAGGTGGACAGGTGGCAGGTGGACAGGTGGCAGGCGTCAGGTGGCAGGCGTCAGGTGGCAGGTGGACAGGTGGCAGGCGTCAGGTGGCAGGTGGCAGGTGGCAGGCGTCAGGTGGCATGTGGCAGGTGGCAGGCGTCAGGTGGCAGGTGGCAGGTGGACAGGTGGCAGGTGGCAGGTGGCAGGCGGCAGGTGGCAGGTGGCAGGTGGCAGGTGGCAGGTGGCAGGCGTGTAGAACATCACCTTTAATACTAACTCGTGGAGGACTTCTTCCAGTCAGGGGCTTAAAGCTGTATTACCTTCTGACCCCCCTTACCCCACCCCGGAGACCCCCGGAGACCCCCGGAGACCCCCGGAGACCCCCGGAGACCCCACGGAGACCCCCGGAGACCCCCTGGAGACCCCCCTGGAGACCCCCCGGAGACCCCACCCGGAGACCCCCCCGGAGATCACCCCTGAGACCCCCAAAGACCCCTTGGAGACCCCCCCGGAGACCCCCCTGGAGACCCCCCCGGAGACCCGCCGGAGACCCCTTGGAAACCCCCCAGAGACCCTCCGGAGACCCCCAGAGCCACCCCCGGAGACCCCTATGGAGACCCCCCCAGAGACCTTTCGGAGATCCCACCCGGAGACCCCCTGGAGACCCCCCAGAGACCCCCTGGAGACCCCCCTGGAGACCCCCCGGAGACCCCACCCGGAGACCCCCCCGGAGATCACCCCTGAGACCCCCAAAGACCCCTTGGAGACCCCCCCGGAGACCCCCCTGGAGACCCCCCCGGAGACCCGCCGGAGACCCCTTGGAAACCCCCCAGAGACCCTCCGGAGACCCCCAGAGCCACCCCCGGAGACCCCTATGGAGACCCCCCCAGAGACCTTTCGGAGATCCCACCCGGAGACCCCCTGGAGACCCCCCTAGAGACCCCCAGAGACCCCACCCAAAGACCCCAGAGACCCCCCGGAGACCCCCCTGGAGACCCCCAGAGACCCCCCCGGAGACCCCCAGTGACCCCCCGGAGACCCCCCCCGGAGACAACCCGGAGACCCCTCCCGGAGACCCCCCCGGAGACTCCTAGAGACCCCCTCGGAGACCCCCCGGAGACCCCCCTGAGACCCATAAAGACCCCCCGGAGACCTCCCTAAGACCTTCCGGAGACCCCCGGAGACCCCCTCCAGAGACCCCCCAGAGACCCCCCGGAGTGCCCCCAGAAGATCCCCTCCAGGAGACCTTCGGAAACCCCCCCGGAGACCCCACCCCCCTGAGACCCCCAGAGACCCCCCTGAGACCCCCTGAGGACCCCCTGGAGACCCCCTGAGACCCCCCCTGAGACCCCCCCAGAGACCCCTAGAGACCCCCCGGAGACCCCCTCCGGAGACCCCCAGAGACCCCCCGGAGTGCCCCCAGAAGGTCCCCTCCCGGAGACCTTCGGAAACCCCCCCGGAGAGCCCCCCCTGAGACCCCCGGAGACCCCCCTGAGACCCTCAGAGACCCCCCTGAGACCCCCTGAGACCTCGGAGACCTCCCCAGAGACCCCTAGAGATCCCTAGAGACCCCCAGAGACCTCCCTGAGACCTTCCGGAGACCCCCGGAGACCCCCTCTGGAGACCCCCCAGAGACCCCTAGAGACCCCCCGGAGACCCCCCTTAGACCCCCCTGAGACCCCCGGAGACCCCGTCGGAGACCTTCCGGAGACCCCACCAGGAGACCCCTCGGAGGCCCCCCTGGAGTCCCCCCGGAGACCCCCGGAGACCCCCCTGATACCTCCCTGAGACCCCCCTGAGACCTCCCTGAGACCCCCCTGATTCTCCCGTAGACCCACCGGAGACCCCCCTTGAAACCCCCCGGAGACCCCGCCGAAGAGCCCCGAAGACCCCCCACGGAGACCCCCCTGCATGGAGACCCCCGGAGACCCCCAGAGACCTTCCGGAGACCCCACCAGGAGACCCCCCGGAGACCCCACCAAGAGACCCCCGGAGACCCCACCTGGAGACCCCCCAGAGACCCCCCAGAGACCCCCAGAGACCCCCAGAGACCCCCAGAGACCCCCGGAGACCCCCGGAGACCCCCAGGAGACCCCCCGGAGACCCCCCCGGAGACCCCCCCGGAGACCCCAGTAGACCCCCATAAAGACCCCCGGAGACCCCACCCAAAGACCCCCCGGAGTCCCCCCCTTGGACACCCCCCCAGAGACCCCTGAACCCCGTAGACCCCCCAAAGACCCCCTCGGAGACCGCCCGGAGACCCCGGAGATCCCCTCGGAGACCCCTGGAGACCCCCGGAGACCCCCCGGAGACCCTTCCGTAGACTCCCCCAGGAGACCCCCCGGAGACCCCCCGGAGACCCCCAGGGGACCCCCCGGAGACCCCACCTGGAGACCCCCGGAGACCCCCAGAGACCTTCTGGAGACCCCCAGAGACACCCCCGGAGACTCCCATGGAGACCCCAGAGATCTTCCACAGATCCCACCCGGAGACCTCCCAGAGACCCCCCGGAGACCCCCGGAGACCAGTTGGAGACCCCCCTGGAGACCCCCCGGAAACCCCGGAGACCCCCCGAGACCCCCCGGAGACCCACCAGAGATCCCCCCAGAGACCCCTCCTCGGACACTCCCCGGAAACCCCCCGGAGATCCCTGAACCCCGGAGACCCCCCGGAAACCCCCCGGAGATCCCTGAACCCCGGAGACCCCCCGGAGACCCCGCCGGAGAGCCCCCAGAGACCTTCCAGAGACCCCACCAGGAAACCCCCCGGAAACCCTCCAGGAGTCCCCTCCCGGAGATCCCCGGAGACCCACTGAGACCTCCCTGAGACCTCCCTGAGACCCCCCTGAGACCTCCCTGAGACCCCCTGAGTCCCCCGGAGACCCCCTGGAGACCCCCCTTGAAACCCCACGGAGACCCCGCCGAAGAGCCCCCGGAGACCCCCCGGAGACCCCCGGAGACCCCATGGAGACCGGCCCCCTTGAAACCCCCCGGAGACCCCCAGAGACCTTCCAGAGACCCCACCAGGAGACCCCCCGGAGACCCCACCAGGAGACCCCCGGAGACCCCACCTGGAGAGCCCCCAGAGACCCCCCAGAGACCCCACGGAGACCCCCGGAGACCCCCCGGAGACCCCCTAGGAGCCCCCTTGGACACCCCCCAGAGACCCCTGAACCCCGTAGACCCCCCATAGACCCCCTCGGAGACCGCCCGGAGACCCTCGGAGATCCACTCGGAGACCCCCGGAGACCCCCCGGAGACCCCCCGGAGACCCCCCGGAGACCCCTCCGTAGACCCCCCATAGACCCCCCAGGAGACCCCCTGGAGACCCCCTTGAGACTCCCCCGGAGACCCCCCCAGAGACCCCCGGAGACCCCACCTGGAGACCCCCGGAGACCCCCCCAGCGACCTTCTGGACACCCCCCAGAGACACCCCCGGAGAACCCCATGGAGACCCCAGAGATCTTCCACAGATCCCACCCGGAGACCTCCCAGAGACCCCCCGGAGACCCCCCGAATACCAGTTGGAGACCCCCATGGAGACGCCCCAGAGACCTTCCGGAGACCCCCCGAAGACCCCCCGGAGACCCCCTGGAGACCCCCCGGAGACCCCACCCGGAGACCCCCAGAGGCCCCCGGAGACCCCCGGAAACCCCCGGAAACCCCCAGAGACCCCCAGAGACCCCCCTTCTCGGAGACTCCTTGGAGACCCCCCGGAGACCCTGAACCCTGGAGACTCCCTTAGACCCCTGGGGACCCCCCAGAGACCCCCCTGGAGACCCCTTAACCCCGGAGACCCCCCCTGGAGACCCCTTAACCCCGGAGACCCCTCTGGAAACCCCCCGGAGACCCCCTGGAGACCCCCAGTGACCCCGGAGACCCCCTGGGGACCCTCGGTGACCCCCCAGAGACCACTGAACCCCGGAGACCCCCGTAGACCGCCCGGGGACCCCCTGCAAGACCCCCCAGAGACCCCCCTGGAGACCCCCTTCGGAGACCCCCCGGAGACCCCCCTGAGACCCCTTGGAGACCACTTCCTCAGAGACTCCCCGGAGACCCCCAGATACCCCCCAGCGACCCCTCCTCGGACACCCCCCGGAGACCCCTGAACCCCGGAGACCCCCGGAGATCCCCCCAGAGATCCCTCCTCGAAGACAGCTCCTCGGAGATCCCTCCGGAGGCCCCTCCTCGGAGATCCCTCCGGAGACCCCCCGAGACCCCCCGAGACCCCCCCGGAGACCCACCAGAGATCCCCCCAGAGACCCCTCCTCGGACACTCCCCAGAAACCCCCTGGAGATCCCTGAACCCCGGAGACCCCCCCCTGGGAGACCCCCCATAGACCCCCCCAGAGACCCCCGAGCTAAGGGGGTCTCCGGGGCTCAAATCATCTCCAGATGAATCAACCATTGGTTGTGCTCAATCATGTGGTGAATGGCCTGCGTCGTTGGTCAAGCAGACTGTGGTGTCTCGCATCTCAAATATGACGTGTACAGTGTTAGTAGTTCTGTTGAGAGTGTGAGTGAGAGTGTGAGTGAGAGAGTGAGAGTGAGAGAGAGTGTGGGAGTAACACGTGGAACTCGGACCATGCAGCTAATTCCCAAAACTGTCCAGTGTGTACTCACCAATTTGTGCTTGCAGGATCGAGCATTGACTCTTGGATCCCGCCTTTCCAGCCATCGGTTGTTTACAGCAATAACTCCTGTCCCATTTCCCTA